ATTTCCATGCAGCAGTGCACAGACAGGCACTATCACCCGAATTTTTTTATAAAATTTTTCATAATCAATTTTTAATAAAAATAGGAATTGAATATTCTAACCTAACATAAAGATTGGTATATATTGCTGCGATATTAATAACCTGTTGCATCCTAAGTGTTTTCAAATCAAACACACTCTTTGCTACAACCAATACAAAAACAGTTGCTGCATTCATACACAGTTGTTTTAAGAAAAAAAATCTTTTATGCATTGATTGGCTGAATTGAGCCACAAAGAAAGAGGAACTTAAAATGAACTTTAATCCAATCTTTATGTCTTTTTCTGAGTTAACAAAAAAAAAAAAAGATTAATTCAAATTGAATTGCTAATTAAGCACAACTTTGTAATGCATGTGGTGATGCTTAGAAACTAAGATGATTATTTGCACAACAATTGCCAACAGTGCAGAACTGAATTTGGGTATGGGGGAAATGACTTGGTGAAAATGCAGTTAAATCTCTTTGCCTTTCAGAGAGCTGTGATCCTGTCCTCATTTCTTATAAAAACTTGAGGAAATTGATGGCTGCTTTTAATTACAAGAGTTGCCAGTAGCCTGCAGGGTAGCTACAGAAGTATGGATTCTTAAACCATGAGCTTTAACCCTTCCCCCTTTGGCCACACATCCCTGTGGATGAAGAAAAAGATTGGGATAAAGAAAATCCATTCCTGTGGATAAAGAAGAGTGGGAGCAGTAGCATGCTCTGTATTTACAGGTATTCCTACAAAATGCTTCACAATTATTTACATTAGGGTCTTTGTGATAGAAAGGGCATACAAAGAAATCCCAGTGTTTCTCAAGACTTTAGATACACTATTCATGTTTCTAAACCAATCTAGAAAAGACATAACACAATCTACTTTTAATTATCTACAGGTGGATTATGAAGGTTTATGCCACAGATGGAAGACTGGAAACTGCATCAGCCATTTCAGGTCTGGCCAGGTTCTTTAGTTTAGATGTCTGGAAACTGCTATACTGCTTCTTTCACTATTTCCAGCCAATAAATAGTTGAACAGCTTCTGCAAGGGAGAGAGCCAGGCAGGCTTCTTAGCATAGGCTGTAACCAAGCTGCCTGCAAGCAGAATAATCAGAATATATCTCCTAGCAGTAGCATCCTAGTCCACCAGAAGTACAATACCTTCATACCTGCAGATCCAGGTCTGGGAGGGCCAGTGTTGACCTGCAGCTAAAAATCCTATCTAGATGAAAGACGACTCACCTTGGGCCTATATGCCATGCTCTTCAGCATGCTGGGTTAGGGTAAGACTTACCAGTTCAAGTGTGAAAACAGAAAAATGCAGAGAGCAACCTTGTTAATAAGCATTCTTGTGCATTTGAACATTAGGACAAAGCACTCAGCTAATGGTGACCTAAATGGACCAGCTCAGACCAAGCACTGTTAATGACTTCTGACAGCCTATTAGCCCTGACAAATGCTGGATGTGGAGCCACTCCTTAGATCACACTACATTCAGAAACAAAAGTTGCACCTACTTTTCCATTACCTAAGCATCTTAGTCTCCTATTATTCTGCATGTTTGGGAACTTCATTTGAATACATGGATTTGCATATAAGGATTTAAAAATAAAATGTGTATTCTAGTGACACTATTAATACAAAAATTAAAATAAGCTTAAATTCCCAAAGAACACAGTATTACAAAAACCCGGTATAGAGAAAGAATGTGACAGAACATGTGTGCCATATGCACAGATCAGAACTTCAGATATTGAGAAAAGGAATTTACTCTCAAAGAATATACTAAAAACGGGCAGACATGATAGACTACCTGGCTGCACAGAGTAGCAGGAGGTACAAAAGGCTCATATTTTGTTACATATTTTTAGCTGACAGCCTCCAATTATAACGCTTACAGTTTTCTCTCCCACATTCAAAATATAGGACAGATCTCAATATTCATCATTCTATATTGTTTTAGGTATATTGATATTTTACACTTAAAGATCTGGCAATGAGAAAAAAATTATTCTATTTATATGTCAAACAGTATGTGAACAAGCTGGCTTATCAAGGGCTTCTAAGCCTTATTTCTAAGTGAAAAACACTTCAGGATATATGCAGTATATGAAACAATAACAGATGATGCCCATGTATTCAAATACATATTTCGAAAGTAATAAAAATTACTTATTTTCAGCTTTTTGCAAACAGGCAAAATAATGTCTAAATTTTTCAAATCTATATACCTCAGAAAAGCAATCAAATTATTATTTGGCTACCCTCCCATCTCTTTAAAGGAAAATATTAGAAAGATACATTCATTATTAGTTATATTAACTACTGTTTTGAGACTCAGATTTGGCTTGGAACACAGAAAACTCAATTTTGCCATTGGTCTGTTTGGTGACCTTACCCAAACTACTTTTTTCTCTCCTTTTCCTACCCAGGGCATGAAAATACAATATTGACCAGCTTGAAATGAAAGGTACTATGTGAGAGGTAATTACTACTATTATTATTATTGCTTGTTTTGGTCCTCTGTACTCTGTGTTATGTCAGCAATCTTAACCTTTCAGAACTGAACATACTAACTCTACTAAATACCTTTCATCCCTACACATCTTCTTCTGTTCTTAAATAAACAACAATTTCTATGGAAAACAAGGAAAAATAAGAATTTATGTGGGGAACTGATAATGATTCTTTTTTATTAGTATTATTTTCAAGCATGGATTTTATGCTATACTTATCAGGCAAGGTAACTACACTTCTCCAACATCATCTACTGACCTGCCTTTCAATTGCCTATGTATCAGCTTCCATACCGGTCTTAAACTATTTATAAAACAGATTCCACTCTGGCTCCAAAAGATCTCTGCTGCTTAGTTCCATAAACCAGGACAGAAAGTACACTCTTTATTTCAGAAACATTATATAACACAATATGGGATGAAAAAGGAGGCCATAAGTACATTTCAGTAGAGAGAAAACAAAGTATAAGATAGCTGACTTTAACAAAACATTGAACTACATGGCAGAAACACTGAATTCTCTGTCATCATGGAAAAATGACAAATTACCTGGCTATGGAATCGCTGGGGCCTTGACTAAGATGAATTAGGTTGTCCATACCTCATAGAGTTTTTATTTCAAGAACAGCTGCTTGAAATTCTTCCTAGTACTTTTAGTCAGAATATTGTCTTTTTTTCAAAAGTTAAACTTTTCAGGAATAATTATCCTCTTTATTAGAAATCCTCATAAACTTCATAAAAATTTCCTACAATACTGGGAACAAGGAAACAACATGGCTCCTTCTGTTTCTAAGCCCTGTAGCACTCCTCTGAAATTTGAAAGATCCAAGCCTGATTTATTCTATCTTATTTACAGCAAAGACACACAATTAGGTCTCCCACTTCTCATTACCGAGCCATAGTCCTCTCAGCTTCTGTAGTGTCCTGGATCTTTGTCAGATCCTCCTGTTGTACCTGTTTCTTTTAATATACATAATAAAATATCCATTGGTGTGGAACTAGAACTACAGCATTCCTTCCTTGAGAAGACTAGCCATCATCCCCCAAAATACAGAGACATTTTCCTTCTTGTTTTGTAGATAGGTGTATTTCTCAAGTATTTGTACAAAACAGAAGTACTCCATCTTCATTGTAAAGCTATTAGTTCTACCATATCACACAAGCGTCTGAATAGGGCACTCTTCTCTCAAAGACAGGATAATTGCATTGAAATCCCAAATCAAGCAGCTTTGCATTCATAGTACCTTTTTTTGCAAATTTCACCACAGTTATGCAAGAGAACACCTATATCAAGATATGAAAAAATAATGGCATACAACAAGCTTCCAAATGTGTAGGGTAAGAAAACTCAAAAACCATGGAAAATAATTGCTCAGTTTTAAGTTATAAACTGCACTCTGTATCTTTCTTTCATCTCAGTATCTCTTACATTCCAAATGACAGTGGTTTGTTGAGGTTTTTCTGGAAGTTCTTGGCATCCTTTTTATTGAAAAAAATGGTATAACACAAATAATGAACTTGGACTGATAGGTCAAAAAACTACCGGAAAAAAAAAAAATTAATAATTTCTACAAATCTTATGTTTGGCCAGGAAGGTGAAGACAAAGAACGCATTAAAAAGAATAATCCATGAGTTTGAAACCAGGTGTTCCTGAAAACCTTTTTCCTACACAGAGGTTCTTCAGTGCAAACTACTGAGCCCTGATAAAAGGAATCTAAGAGAGATACAATAGCTGAACAGATTAGAGTAGCTGTGTAAATTATAACTTTGCTTCATAATTACCATAACAATAATTTTCACAGTGAGCTTTTCCTACACAAAAGCATTGTCCTTGTATTTTTTTTAGTAAATTCTCTGAGATCATATACAAGTTTGGTTCATTTTGTGAAATATTGATGTCCTTCATGAAGAGTGCTTAAAACACAGCCTGAAGCAAATGGAAAAATTTTAAGAAGTATTTCTGCAGAACCGTATCAGACAGTAAGAAAGCATTAGCCAGTACCTTATCAGCATCACTGTTCTTTATTTAGCAATCTGTAATTAAAAATTATATTTGCACAGGTTACATTTTCTAGGTGTCATTGTTTGTGAATCATACACAAGATTATCCCTTTGTTCCACCCTAGCCAAGTGTATATTCTCCTATTCACAAACCATTCACAAGTGTGCAGTAATAATTAAACATTATTAGATTCTATCAAAACTGCAAGTACCTCCATAACAATGCCATTTTCCAACATAGAATGATATTGGGTTTTAAGATACTGTCATTTTTCCTGCATAAGCATGTCCACAAAAAATGAATGAATACCTCTTTAAAAATAAATTAAAGAGCCTGCATGGAAAAATGTTCTAAGAAGATGGGTCTTTTCACTTTGATTTATTTCCTGCTTTGTTGTACCTTATTTTTTCAGATATGGTAAACAATGATAAGAAAAAGTAAAGCCTAATACATGTGCTTACTTGTGATAAAATGGAAAGCTGATGGTCATAGGTTACTGCATTTCGATTAGCCTCCATGAAGTACTTCTGGGTTCGTCTCCTCTCCCGATCCAGTTTCTTCTCCAACATGAGATGAGAGGTGGATAAAACATCCAGGTATTTCATCATCACATCAGACAGCAGTGAGCTGACCTCCACTATGTCTGGACGTGCCTCTGCATCAGGAGTCAAGCATCTACAGAAAGAACATTCTCTAATGAAAGCTAATTACGTCTTTCTAAAAAACTGTTTAGTACCGCAGCATTTCTCCATTGGTATTTATCAAGTCATGCTGGCCAGCACTCTGCTCAAGCCTGCGTGGGACAGTTTGACACTGTGCAGCCTTGGTGTTGACACACCACAGAGCACAGTCTCTGGTATCAGCTGGAACAATTATCCTTGGCACTTCAGAGGCACCGATCCAGACAGAACTGTTAAGGGAGGCTGCTGCTGCGCACCCCCAGACACAGTAGGGAGTACCTGGTGCCTCTTCCTAGAACTAGGGGAGACATTGGCCTCCCCTGTGGGGACTGTGCTCTGGTCAAGGTGCTGCACTGCTGGACAAAGCAGCTGTGAAGGAGATGAGTGTGCTGTCAGGAGTATTTACAGGAGAACAAGAAGATTGTCACAGAGACTTTGCAGAGACGAGACACCCCAAACAATGCAAAGGAGGAAAACCTAGAAATTACCCTCAAAGGAGCAGTGGATGGAGGATCCCAAGAGGAGGTAGGCTGGAGACTTGTGACTTCTGCCAACAGAAAGAAGGCTTTTCCTGTGCCTACAGATATACAAGGTATAGTGACCTGGGAACAAGCGAGGAAGAAAAAGACCTAACAGAGGAAACACCAGAGTCAGGTGAGTCTGAATCAAATGTCTACATCACAAATAAGCAGCAGCAGCTGACAGTCATTTGAGATTGAGGGAACAGAGGCACCCATCTACTTGATCTGATTTGACGATTGTGAAGCCCGTTGCTTGTGAGGTGCTTGGATTCAGGACATTGTGGAAATACTACCAAGACTTATCTGGCCCTTGGGCTATTATGCCTTACTGCTCATTCATATGGGCATGAATGACACTATCAGGGTTGAACCTGAACATACCAAAAGTGACTACAGAGCACTAGGGTCAAGTGTGAAGGGCAGGGGGGCAAGGTGGTGTTCTCCTCAACTCTTCCAGTGAGGGGCAAAGGCTCAAGTCAGGGTGGATGCAACCTGCAGTCCAACACCTGGCTGCGTGTGGTCAAGAGCTTATGGGTAAGAATCTAAGGAACAGACCAACATGGGTGACATTGTGGTAGATGCCTGCTATAAACCACCCAAAACCAAAGAGGAAGTCAATGAAGCCTTTGTTGGACAGATGGAGGAAGCTTCATCATTGCAGGCACTCTTACTCATTGGGGCCTATTAATCACCCTGATATCTGCTGATGGGGGAATATGGCTGTAATACGGCAATCCAGGAGATTTCTGGAATCTGTTAATGACAATTTCTTGGTGCAGGTGATTCAGAAGCTAACTAGCAAAGGCACTTTGCCAGACCTGTTGCTTACAAACAAGGAAGAACCAGACAGGGGTGTGAAGATCGAGGGCAGCCTCGGCTACAGCAACCATCAAACTGTGGAGTTCAAAATCCTGAGAGAAGTGAGAAAGACAGATTGTATGGTCACAACACAGGACTTCAGGAGAGCAGAATTCAGCCTGTTCAGGGATCTTTCTGCTAGAATCTCATGGAAGACTGCCCTGGAAGGTAAAGGGAAAGCAGTTAATCTTCAGGGACACCTCAAAGCACAAGAACAGCCCACTCCTGCATGTAGGAAGCAGGGGTGGGCTACACAGGAACAATATACAGATATTGCCCAAAGGGTGGTGTTAGGAAAGCCAAAGGTCAGCTGGAGTTGAAACTAGCAATGGACGTGGAAGGCAGAAGAAAGGCCTTCTATAAGTACATTGACAACACTAGAAAGGCTAAGGAAAATGTGGACCCACTATGCAATCTAGAGACAAAGGACATGGAAAAGGCTGGGGCACTCAATCCCTTTTTTGCTTCCATTTCCATTGGGAAACTTCGGCCTTAAGTGTTCCAGATCTCTGAGCCTACCTGTAGAATCCATGAGCATGAAGCATTACCACATAGTGGAAAATATAGTGAGGAAGCATTTAAGCCAATTGGACATATACAAGCCCACGGGACCAGGTGAGATGAGCCTGAGGGTGCTGATGCAACTGGCCAATGCCACTATTCATCATGTCTGAAAGGATCAGAGGGAGGTTCCTGTAGGCTGGAAAAAGTTGAGTATCACATGCATATCCAAGAAAAGTGAGAGGGTGGATCCAGGAAGTTACTAGCCAGTTAGCTTCACCTCAGTCCCTGGAAAAATAATAGAGCAAATTCCCCTGGAAGTAATTTTCAAGCACACAAAGGACAAGAACGTGACTGGGAACAGCCAGGATGGATTTTCCAAACATCAGTCATACCTGACTAGACTCATTGCTCTCTATGATGAGATTACTGGCTCTGTGGACAAGGGGAGAGCAGCATATGCTGTGGGTAGCTTTATTTTAGCAAGGCCTTTGACACAATATCCCACAGGATCCACAGGACTATAAGGTAGGTAGATAAATTGGCTGAACTTTCTGGCTCAAAGAGATGTCATCAGCAGTACAAAGTCCAGCTGGTGGCTGGAAGTAGCATCCTCCAGGGATTGATACTGGGCCAGCACTGTTTAATGTCTTTATTAATGACCTAGACGATGAGATGGAGCGCGTTCTCAAAAGGTTCGTGAACACCAAATTACAGGGATCAGTTGATACATGGGACAGGGCTGCTGTCAGAGGGACCTGGGCTACCTATGCAGAGATCTGATTGCTAGCTACATAATGGGAGGGTATAGAAAAGATGGAGCCAGATCCTTCTCGGAGATTAACAGTGATAAGGCAAGAGGCAATAAACACAAGTTAGAACACAGGAAAATCTGATTAGATATAAGGATTATTATTACTATTACTATTACTACTGCTACTGCTTCTAACCACAAAGGTAGACAAGCACTGAAGAGGACCCAGAGAAGTTGTGGGATCTCCATCCTTCAAGATATTCAGAACTCAGTTAGACAAGACCCTGAGCAGTGACCAACCAGATCTAATTGTATCTGCTTTGAGCAGATGGACTAGATGACCTAAATTACTTTACAGTTCTACGGTTCTTTTTTCAGGCACCCTAGGTAGCTGTTTAGTAACAGTAATAATATACTGTTAGGCCTATTTTTAAATCCCCAGAATATTTTGTATGTAGTGTAGGACATGAAAGCCGATAGGGACAGTTCTGCATGTACTATGAACTGTCTTAAATCTGTTAACTCCAGTGAATCTGATAATTTACCATGATTTCCCTGCAGAGTACTATTGACCAGCTAGCATACAGATACACTTAACCCAACACCCTTCTTTAAAGAAAGTGTCACAGAATGATTTTATTGTTTCTAAAACAGTACTTTCTAAATAAACATAACTGCCATTTAAAGTAGCAGTTTTGAAAATGTTTTACAGTACTTGAACTTCTTGATTTTAATCTTTTTTGTTTAAATTTGCTCAAATCTGTTGATTAGTCTCATTAATTTTCATAACTTTGTTAATCTGTTTTACTTAAAATTTTATACTTCCTTTAAACAGAAGCAAGTTTTTCACCCTTAAGAAATGTTCTGTTTGATTTTTTTCTTTCTAATTTTTTATTTTAATCCACTGAAATGGGTCAAAATTTCCAAGAATGATGTAAGCTATAAAATATTTCTGGTAAGTCCTAAACCCATTTCCCATGCATCTAGAAAGAAATTATTTATTTATGTCTAAACACTGAGTAGAGTGATGTTCAACTCTGAAAGACTTTGATGATTGTGATTCCAGAACTTTCTTTAGTAGCTTAATCCAATAAAACTGTATTTTAATAATAATACTGAATAATAATAATGATAACACTAAATGCAAATTTACAGTTGCAAGATGAAGCTTTCAATGTTTTTTCTAATCATTATCAATAAATTATTTTTTCTATTTATGACATTCATCTCTGAATATGTGTTTTGCTTTAGTCATTTGGAAAGAACTTCATTTCCATTCATATTTCCTCAGCTATATTATAAGTAAAATCTCATTATTACTGCTTTTTTTTTAATGTTCTTTATTCTTTCTAAATATCTCAGAAAGCATAAGCCAAAACCTAATATAATATTTCATTTAAGGATTAACCCATAGTAAGAGAATCAACATTTTTTTAAAAAACATTTTATGATTCCCACTGCTATTAAAATAAGCGGAAAAATTCTTACGTGATAGGAAAACTTAATTTTAATGTTTTCATGCAAATACCTATTTAATCATCTATTTAAACCAGTTAGCCTCCATAGCAGCCAGTCTTATGATGATATGGGACTTTCAGTGAACCTGTTTAATACAGCCACAGTATCTGCAATCATAAATAACGCAAGAGCTGGCCTTGGAGAAACTCTCAAAAACTTCCTATTACAGAGTTTCTCATCACTATCAGGAATGAAAAGAAGGAAAAGACAGAAGGCCAGACACTCACATAACTTTATTTATCTAAGTCGCTGATAAAGAGGTGTTTAAAATTTGTAAGAGAATGCAATACATATCAATACTGATATGATGTGACTGGAAGATATTTTCTGGATGCATTGGGATTACTATATTATTCTTAAATAGCGAGCAATGAATTAATAAAGTCAGTTATTCTAACTACAATTATCTGTAAATATTTAAAATACTAAAATTCATTTCAGGACCTCTTAAAGGTAAATGTTAGTTCTATTAGCTCCTATCCTCCCCATTGTTGTCCTTTATCCTCAAGGTCTTTAAATAACAGAAACCTTTTTGTACAATAAAACACAATATAAAAATGTTATAGTCTTTGTACAGTAAAGTGTTTTTTAGAGATAGAATTCAACATCTGAGTGAGAAAGAAAAAGCATTTTTGTGCTAAGTGGAGTTTTTCTAAAATGGAAAAATCAAGGGAGCTAAATCTCATAGAAGTGCACCAATTCACTCGCTATACTTTGCCTTACACATTATGTTATCACCAGGAAGATGTAACCATAGCTAAGAGAAATATGCGATGAGTGAGTGGAACAAACACAGGCTCATCTTTTCCTCTGTTACTGCATTATCTCTGCTTTGTTATCTCTGCTATCCTGCTAACAGGATTAAAAGGTAGTGGGAAACATATTTCTATCAGTCAAACAAACACACAAAACTATGAAGGTGATCACACAGTGATCTATAAATAACATATTGCAACAGGGTTACTTCCTTGACCATAAACTGCACTTGAAAATGACTCAAAATGCTATCTTTTCATGGGGGGAAAAAATTGATGTGTAGGGAGTTAACTACAGCATTGGTATTGTTCAGTACTGAGTATAAAGTCTATACTGGTTGGATAAATGTGCTGACTATACTGGCATGAGTTTTCCAGTTGCATGTATGCAACTATATTGCATATCATAGAATCATAGAATCATTAAGGTTGGAAAAGACCTCTAAGATCATCGAGTCCAACCATCAACCCAACACCACCATGCCCACTAAACCATGTCCCTAAGCGCCTCATCTACACGTCTTTTAAATACTTCCAGGGATGGTGACTC